TGTTCTTTGTAGTTCTTCTCGCCTCTTAATCCTGTAAGAGTACACATTGAAATTGGACCTGATGGCCGGGTAACAGGAGAGGCAGATGTTGAATTTGCTACTCATGAGGATGCTGTTGCTGCAATGTCCAAAGACAAAGCAAACATGCGTAAGTTCACCATCTTTCCTGCAGAAGCCTTTATTTTCATCAGCTTCTTTCCCTTTCTCCCACAAAACAGATTTTATACTGGTCTTAACATTACAGTAATTGGATGTGGGTGGTGTAATTTCCACTGCTCCGTTTTTAGCAGTGACCAACATGGAGTGTTGTATCAAGATATGAGTCCTTGTATGTAAAGTAGCTTTATTTGGGAAGTTTGTTTGTGGGTCAGTGCATCGCTGTCTTTTTGTTCCCTTAGAACACCGATATGTAGAACTCTTCTTGAATTCTACAGCTGGAGGAAGTGGTGGTGCATATGGCAGTCAGATGATGGGAGCTATGGGTATGTGTAGAAATTCAGTTTCGTGTAAAGTACTGCTGATATTTAACAAAGTCGCTAATTTTATATAGTTCCTGCTTATTCTAAGTGGCCTAAAACTGAAACTCAACATTTTGTCTTAATCACAGTCAAGGAAACTGAAGGGGTAGTCCAAGATTGGAACACTAACACATTGGCAGGTATATAAACCTTTTAGGTATACATTCTAATGATCAGGCTGTTAAATGAATAAATGTTTTATCTATTGTATGAGTGGTGGCATGAGTGAGTTCTGAGATTACGAATGATGGCATATTGGGTGTGGGGAAAGAGACAACATGCTGTCCATGTGTTACTATATTTTTTTGGACGGGGATTGGGTATGGGATGAATGCTAGAATTATTGTGGCTTTCATTATCACAGTAGGCATTCTACTTAGCCTCAAACTTGAGTATTCTTCTGCAACTTTCAGTTCTGTGTAATAACTTCAGAAGCTGGGTTGCTTGTTCTAAGAGCTCATTCTTGTGGTGGTTATTGTGTGCTGTGGGTATATGTGCTGCTTTTATGGCATTTTGTAGATTGGTTAGGCTTTGTTCTTAAGATATGAGAAAGAAAAAAAACTACATATTCTCAATTGCAAAAACGTTTTGCAGAGATAATTAAGTGAGCTATTCAAGTAGCTGTATTCTGAATATCTTTGTTACACATTTAAAAGTGCTATATATGAGGTGGGTAGCCTAGAACAGTATTATTAGTCATTGGAGCAGAAGTCAGATATCCTGTTGAAAGTTGGCATCTCCTGTGTGATCTTAAAACTGGCCCATATGGAGTGGTTTGCATTGTGTATTAGCATATAAAGGCTGTGCAGCCACCAGAACATACAATTCTATAGCTCTAAGTACCACTTCAAGTTCAGTTAGTGCACCTGAAATGTACAATGTATTTTAAAGGAATAGACATGCCATTTTCAGATGAGTACAACAAAATTACTTCCAAACTGAATAGTTTACACACCTCAACATAGATGCCACACAAATCGCTAAGTTTGTTATTTGCATAAGTGTTGTCTGCAAATGCTTCCCTTAAAAATGACAGCAAAACTAGGAGTCTTTCCATATGAGATTATGCTGTAATAGGACTAAAATTGCCCTTTTGAGGTAGTATATATCATAAGAATCTTAATGAAAGATGATGGTAGTCAAGGTCTTAACATGCATATCCTTAACTTGAAAGGAAGCCAATCCAGTTATGGTGGTCCAGCTAACCAACAGCTGAGTGGGGGTTACGGAGGAGGCTATGGTGGTCAAAGCAGCATGAGTGGATATGGTAAGATGTTTTTATTAATCTTAAAGGGATATGTGTTTGAGTTAGCTAGCTGCCTTTTTGAGAATCGACATGCTCAGGCAAATACTTAACTTATGACATTTCAAAATTGCCTAGGTATTTGGTTCCAGCTACCTTATAGGATGAAATGTAAGTCTTTAGAGGAAAAATGACAGGAACCCTTTTCCTTATAATATATATTTATTTATTTGATTTATACCCCGCCCATCTGGTCTACAAGACCACTCTGGCTCTTTTAAAATCTGAAAATAAGTAGTTGACCCAGTCTATATGTGCTGCATTGCATTGTTAGTTAATGGTGTGAAAATGATAATGTACATTAGGCTTTGCGGTAGAGGAGGGCATTAAGATGTTTCAGGGCTTGCTCTGGACATACTTTACAAAAAGTCTGGGGAAGTGATTTGCTGGCTTTATAGAATTATAAACTTGGCATTACATAGAAGAAAGTTTGTCTTTTCAATAACAAAATTATGCAAGGTGGTATAAGATAACTTGTAGGAAATTATGTTGCTGTGTCTGAAGAGTACCACAGTTTTACACTAAATTGTTTATTATCTACTTTAGGTAACCAGAGTGCGATGAACAGCAGCTACTACAGTAGTGGCAGTCGTGCATCCATGGGAGTGAATGGCATGGCTGGAATGTCCAACATGTCCAACATGAGTGGTGGCTGGGGAATGTAACTCTCCTAATTTTTGGTCAACTTTTTTAAGAAAACAAAAAACTTAGTTTAACAGTTTTGCAATACAAGCTTGTGATTTATGCTTTACTTGTAAGTGAAATCAGGATCATTTTAAAACATTCAGGTTCAGTATTTTTGAATATGCTGAAACATTTCATCTAGGGTGTAAGTCAAGTAAAGTTCCTGTTCAACCATTTTCAGCTTTTCCCCTCGTTTTTGTTGTAGAAGTGTGTATGAGCAGTAAGCGTATTTAGGTTAAAGCTGTTTCAATTATGTTAAATGTTGCTCTTATACTGTGTAACACCAAACACTTTCCAGTGCATGTTCAGGAACATGCTTTTTTGTACAAACAAAGATATAGGAGCTGTGTTGAAAACTCAAGTGAACATTTGGCATGTTAGTTCTAGTTTTTCCTTTTTAATATTCTTGTAAGGCACATTAAGCTTTTTAAGTTAATGGGGAAATGTGAGATGCAATACAGCCACTCTTAGGATTTTGGTCTTGATGTTCGTATGAGATCTGAGGCCTTGATTTAATCTTTTCATTGTATTGTGATTTACTTTTAGGTGTATTGCGCTAAGTGAAACTTGTTAAAATAAAACTTCCTTTTAAAAACTGGAACGTCTCTTGATTTAAGTAAACATTGCTACCAGAAGCAACTGTTTTGCTGGACTAATTAGTTCCAGCAAATGTTTTTTATTCAGAGTCCATCATAACAGGGTTCTTAAATATATGCTTTTGCAGAATTTGGTAGTAGCCAGGAAATTGAATTTGGGTAGAGTGATGAATTTTTCTGTAGCACTACCCACTGTGTGAAAATTGGTGCTTATAACTATTCTGTACAGAGCTGAGATAAATGAGACTGCTTTCAGATACAATGGTGCCTCGCTTAGCGATTGCCTCATTTAACAATGTATTCGCTTAGAGATGAGGTTTTAGGAGCGATGTTTCCAATGGGGGAATTTCGCATAGCGATGTTGGGGACCTTGCTTCGCTTAACGATGACAGTTTAGGTCCCCGTTTCACTTAATGATGTTTTTGACAGCTCAGTTTTTGCTATTTTTAAAAGGTGTTAAATTGTTTAAAAAGTGCTTGAAATCGTTAGTGCACTTAATAAACTCTTTGTTAACCAAATTTGGCTTTGTTCTGACTCTTTGAATTTTTGGTGGTTTTTTTCTCCCCCATTGAAATGCATTGAAAAGGTTTCAATGCATTCCAATGGGGGAACCACGTTTCCCTTAGCGATGTTTCCTATGGCGATTTTTGCTTAAGGACGGTAATCCGTTCCCATTGGAACGGATTATCCGGTTTTCAATGCATCTCTGTGGGAAAACGCGTTTCGCTTAGCGATGTTTTCCCATAGCGATGGATTTTTTGGCAGCAATTAAAATAGTTAAGCGAGGCACCACTGTATTTTATCCTCAACCACATGAGTGTGGCACTTTTACATTGCAGCTCCACATTTACTTGTGGGAAAGTGGATTCCAGAACAATAGTTTAATATATGCCACATCAAGCATATTCTTGATTGCTAACAGTTTCCCCCAATCCACATAAGAGACCAGGAGCTGAATTGTCCTAACATGAAAACACTGGTGAGGAAGGAGGACAGATGTGATACATGAAAATTGTCACATTAGCAGGACAACTTAATTTTTTAAAAACTCATTACATGTTAGGATCCATCAAGTTACATCTGACATATATTGACTGTAATAGCATTTTCAAGGAGTTTTTTAAATCAGTTAACACAAAGTTTCCATGGCCAAGTGGGGAATTAAATTCAGATATCCTGAATCTGACACATTCTGCTACAGCATAATGGCTGTATGATCTACATTAGGTTGTACTACTGTAATGTACTTTTCATGCTGTGTAAAGTACTTTACCAAAACCTGTGCAGATGCTCCTATTAATCAAGGTTTTTATGAAATAAAGCTCTGGAGCAATGAGAAATAATTTCCTAATCACAGCATGATGTACAAAGAATAGGGGTGAGATTGAAAGCAAGATGGTTACACTATTGAAGAAAATTTCTGAAATGGTAGTATGCAGAGAGTAGTATGTAATTGGAGTAATTTCTAAATTAAGCTAGTTGGGTATCGGCATGGAGATGAAAAATGGAAAGTGTTATCTAAGGTTCTGGCTTTAGACCTTCCAATTGTGAAGTGAAAGCCACCTAAGACCTCTATTAAAAAATCCTACAGATACAGTGGTGCCTTGCTTGACGATGTTAATTTGTTCCAGCGAAATCGCTGTAGAGCAAAAACATTGTCAAATGAAAAAACCCATTGAAACGCATTGAAAACAGTTCAATGTGTTCCAATGGGCTGAATACAGTACCTGCTCGCCCAGCGAAGATCCTCCATACGGCGACCATTTTGGGTGCCTGTAAAGCAAGGAATCCGTCCTAGAAAACAGCGGGGCCATTTTCTTCAGCCCGTGCCCATTTTGAAACCTGACGATCAGCTGATCATTCGAAAAGCAAAAATCAGTTCCCGAAGCAGGGAACCGATCGTTAAATGAAAAAACCCATTTAAAACATTTTGCAATTGCAAAAACCTAATCGTATAGCGATTTCCTCGTAAAGTGAGGTACGACTGTACTTCAGTTTTCTTCCTCTATGCGAGCATCACTGTTTGTACAACTGTTCTATATTCCCAGATTAAATTTTCCCCCACTCATCAAAATACTCCTGTATGACTCCTTTGCCACTATAGACAAATGGATCCAAATTGCCTTTTTGAAGTACATCATTACCCAACTGATCTTTGCCATTTTATTCCTATTTCCATTGTCCTTTTTCCTTTTTTCCAACCCTTGAGCCCCGCTATGGCTTTCTACTGTGGTTGCTACCACTGCTTTTGCTGCCACCAGTTCAAAGAACATTAGTTTCTTCACCTTGAGATGTTTCAGTCTTACAACTAAACATGATCCGAGTTCTGTACTATCAGAAAGGGGAGTTTCTTTGTATTAATCTTTCAGTTGGGCATGCCCACCTACTGGCATTCTTGGGAGTTTCTAACTGCCTGTATCAACATTATTTACCCCTGATTAACTTCAAATTCTGTGGCTTGTAATACATCCAAACTTATATCAATTTCTGTTCTGTTTCAAACTTTCATCTCCAAATCCTTTGACTATGTTTTGGGTACAAACATGGCTATCCATAATCAACTAGCTAAAAAGCCTGAATTTTATACAACTATTGGACAGTAGTCTGCAGCTCATGCAAACAGTATTGCTTGAAACCACTGCCATCTTTGCTCTTGTATTACCTCACAAACGAACAGAAGTGCCACATGAAATGAATTCTTGTGGATAAAATTTTCAAGGAACATTTTATGAAGGTGCACGTTAACCTTTTTAATTTCATTTTGAGTACTGTATATGACTGCATTGGTACTTTAGAAATGAATCTATACTGTCTTTTGAAGTATAGCAAAGGCACATTCATTTACATTGGTTTTTAAAAATCATTCCATAGGGACATGTTTAAAGATGCTAACAAGAACTTTGCATAAAAATCTAGAGAATTTAAGTGGTATTATCACAATAGGTATATCACTGATAATGTGTTCAGAAAAGTATTGTTTCAGAGATCAGTACACAAATATTAAGTACAAAGTTAAATATACAGTTTTTTTGCATTTAAAAACAATCAGAAGCATGACTTGTCAGTGTTTTAGTACAATGAGAACATTTGAGATTGTGACATTTTTCTTGCATTTAATAGATTCAAAATGCAGTTTCCATAGTTTATGTTAATCCCCTTTTTTGTAAATGTTCTTTGACCCAGCGTAACATGGCAAATAGTACCATTGAGAGGTTATGGGATACATGAAGAACGGAAGAATTTATATTCTGCCCAAAACGCAGTACAGGTTTAGTTTAGGATCTTGCTGTCTAAATATAAAGCAGAAAGGGAAACATGAAAGCCCCTCCCCCGGCGCAAGCTCCTCATCACATGCCTTCTCACACTGAACAATTAGTCCTACAAGGGAAAGCCAATTTGGATAATTTCCCCTCTGTTCTGAGTTAAGACAAGAAGATTCTAACCATTCTCTAGTTCTGCATGGTTCTGCTAAAACAAGCCAATAGATTAGGAAGCATTTGATGAACATCTCTGAAGCAATAAAGTGTGGCAGGTATCACAAACTCTTACAGGCTTTGGATAGGAGGGTAGTGCAAGTTCATTGCTGGAACAAGTGTTGCAGAAAATGTGACCGCAGTTTCGACAGTGATGCTGTAAAGAAAAGCATGGTTGTAACTTCTTTTTCACCATCTGGAAAACTTCTGTCTAGAAAATGAGCTTTAAAGATAACGGTGCTTGGAATACTTTCGTGACTTGAGTTGCTAGCCCCTGTCAATGAAGCATTGTGGGGAATTAAACTCCCAACGTCTGGCTGCACAGCCAGATACAGAAACCATACTATCCACGTGCTGAGGAAGTCTGCGTGTGTGGAGGGCTGCCGCATTAACAGAACAAGTTAGTCATCACTAATAGTTCACATGCTGATTTCCCTGAATTAGGATGAATAAGGAAGAGGAAGGATCTAGATTCGCTGGTTGTGAAGGAAAAAGACATAATGCCTCAATACACAGTCCATATATTGCACATAATTTCAGTCTATGAGACTTGTAGAACAAATGCATTGCCAATTGCACCTGGTATCTGTGGCGTCTTTTCTGAAGGACCCCTGACACAGTAAGAAAGCAGCACAACTTTGAACTGAATTTAGACAAGTTGCTCCTACACAACCAACATGTGGACTTGTCTGTACCTCTGAGTAATTCTCAGAAGCCTTTTTCTGGTAGGTCTAAATTTTGATTTCAGGTGAGTGCTTTTTTAGCTATAGTGCTTTGCCTCAAGACATGCTTTCTTGAAAGCTCACGTGCTTCTCACAACTGAATTGGGATGCTCTTCTCGGAACCCCTCTAGAAACCAGCAAGTAGGTGGTGAGCTTTGGGCCTCAAATTTACTTCTACCCCCTTATTCTTTGTTGCTGAGCTTTAAAGGGAACTCTGGTTTTCTAAAGTGCCCTAACACACTAACAGTCCTGACACTGGAGGGTTATCAACTGACATTACCTTTCTTCTAGAAATGGAGAACTCTTTTTGGCACTGTTTACAATGGGTTGCTTCATCATCTTTTAGCCAGGTGTGACCCTATCAGTGAAACAAAATGAAATTTATTACTGCAATCAAAATTCAGAAGCTGAGCAATTTATCATTTAAGAGAACAAAAATGTAATCTTGGCACCCTCAGCCCAGCAAAGCAAACCTGTAACCAAAATCTTCAACAGACTTGGACAATTAAGCTGAATCTGCAACGAGATCTTGTTGTTGTTTAGTTGTTAAGTTGTGTCTGGCTCTTTGTGACCCCACGGACTAGAGCATGCCACACTCGTCTGTCTTCCACTGCCTCCCAGAGTTGGGTCAAATTCATATTGGTAGCTTCGATGACACTGTCCAACCATCTCGTCCTCTGTTGTCCCCTTCTCCTCTTGCCTTCACACTTTCCCAACATCAGGGTCTTTTCCAGGGAGTCTTCTCTTATGAGATGGGCAAAGTGTTGGAGCCTCAGCTTCAGGATCTGTCCTTCCAGTGAGCACTCAGGGTTGATTTCCTTCAGAATGGATAGGTTTGTTCTCCTTGCAGTCCAGGGGACTCTCAAGAGCGTCCTCCAGCACCACAATTCAAAAGCATTAATTCATTGGCGGTCAGCCTTCTTTATGGCCCAGCTCTCACTTCCATACATCGCTACTGGAAAAACCATAGCTTTGGCTATGCGGACCTTTGTCGGCAAGGTGATGTCTCTTCTTTTTAAGATTCTGTCTAGGTTTGTCATTGCTTTCCTCCCAAGAAGCAGGCATCTTTTAATTTCATGGCTGCTGTCACCATCTGCAGTGAACATGGAGCCCAAGAAAGTAAAATCTGTCACTGCCTCCATATCTTCCCCTTCTATTTGCCAGGAGGTGATGGGAACAGTGCCCAGGATCTTAGTTTTTCTGATGTTGAGCTTCAAACCATTTTTTGCACTCTCTTCTTTCACCTTCCTCACTTTAATTCCTCCTCACTTTCTGCCACCAGAGTGGTATCATATGCATATTTGAGGTTGTTAGTATTTCTTCCAGCAATCTTAATTCCGGTTTGGGATTCCTCCAATCCTGTCTTTCGCATGATGTATTCTCCATATAAATCCAATAACCAGGGAGACAATAAGCAGCCTTGTCATACTCCTTTCCCAATTTTGAAACAATCACTTGTTCCATATCCAGTTCTAATTGTTGCTTCCTGTCCCACATATAGATTTCTCAGGAGGTACAGTTGTGTTCAAAATTATTCAGCCCCCACTGAAATTGAATGTTTTGGCCATTTTGACATTGATTTTGATCATTCAGTCATCTTGCTTACATTTACATGAAAGAGACACTTGTAGGTCAGAGAAATATAACCTTAAGTTTATAATGAAATAACCACAAATGTCTTTTCTGTGCTCACATCATTATTAGTTTTTATTCAACCCCCAAGTGACATTCAATCTTAGTACTTAGTACAACATCCTTTTACAGTTATAACAGCTTTTAAACGTGAAGCATAGCTTGACACAAGTGTCTTGCAGCGATCTACGGGTATCTTCACCCATTCTTCATGGGCAAAAGCCTCCAGTTCAGTCAAATTCTTAGGCTTGCACACTGCAACTGCTTTCTTTAAGTCCCACCAGAGGTTCTCAATCGGATTTAAGTCTGGTGACTGCGATGGCCACCCCAAAATGTTCCAGCCTTTCCTCTGCAACCATGCTCTAGTGGACTTGGAGGTATGCTTGGGATCATTGTCCTGTTGAAAGGTCCAACGTCTCCCAAGCCTCAGGTGTGTGACGGACTGCATCACATTTTCATCCAATATCTCCTGGTACTGAAGAGAATTCATGGTACCTTGTACACGCTGAAGCTTCCCTGTACCTGCAGAAGCAAAACAGCCCCAAAGCATTATTGACCCTCCGCCATGCTTCACAGTAGGCAAGGTGTTCTTTTCGTCATATGCCTTGTTCTTCCTCCTCCAAACATAGCGTTGATCCATGGGCCCAAACAGTTCTAATTTTGTTTCATCAGTCCACAGAACACTATCCCACAACTTTTGTGGTTTGCCCACATGACTTTTGGCATACTGCAGTCGACTCTTCTTATTCTTGGGAGACAGCAAGGGGGTGCGCCTGGGGGTTCTGGCATGGAGACCTTCATTACGCAGTGTGCGCCTTATTGTCTGAGCTGAAACTTCTATACCCACATCTGACAAATCTTTTTTCAGTTCCTCAGCAGTCACACGGGGACTTTTCACCACTCTACGCTTTAGGTAGCGCACAGCAGTCGAAGTCAGCATCTTCTTTCTTCCACGACCAGGTAGCATTTCAACAGTGCCCTTTGCCTTGAATTTGCGAATGATGCTTCCTATGGTGTCTCTTGGTATGTTTAACTTCTTTGCAATCTTCTTATAGCCATTGCCCTTCCTGTGAAGACAAATCACCTCTTCTCTTGTCTTCCTGGACCATTCTCTTGACTTCACCATGTTTGTAACCACACCAGTAAATGTCTAGAAGGAGCTGAGTATCACAGTCATTTTAAAGCTGCCTAATTGGTGCTTATTATGCTTGATTGGTGCTCGGTGACATCCACAGGTGTTTTCAATACCTGATCGAAAACACCTGAATGAACCTCTCTTCTTCAGAGTGGTAGTCTTTAAGGGGTTGAATAATTGTGGCAATGAAGAAACCACAAAAGAAACATTTACTACTGTATTACATAAACAATTGATGTTATTTTAGTTGCATTTGGTTCTTTAAAACGTCCTTGTAGGATTTCATTCTGAATACAATTCCAAATGTACACTATAGTCCCTAAACCCCTTTACAGCATTGGGGGCTGAATAATTTTGAACACAACTGTATAACACTTTTTTGTGCAAAAACCACAAAACAATGACTCTCAAGTAACAAAACAATAAAACAGCAATAAAACAGTAGGAACATTTAATATGACCACAAAGATCACTGAGAGATTTTAAGGCAGTCACCCTTTTAGTCTTATCTCCCTTAGACAGCTCTTTCAACAATAAAGTTGACAGGGTGAAATCATGTAGTTATTACACTCGCAGGCCCAATACTCACAGTTGTTTTCACAAACAGCGATAAAGAACTTACTGAAACAAAAATAAAACCAGTAGCACAAACAATACAACACAAAAATCTTGATTTTAAAAAAAAAAGAGAGAAAAATAAAATAGTAGTGATATGGCGAACCAAAACAAAATGCTTGGAAGAATAAAGTGATCTTCAAATGACACCCAGAAGGCCATAAACATAGGTTCCAGGGCCAGTTTCTCTGGTGTTGGCATCCCAAGGGCAGGGCACCACGGGACATCCAGATCTTTCTGGTATAATTCCTCTGCGTATGCTTGCCACCTCTTTTTGATATCTTCTGCTTCTGTGAGGTCCCTACCATTTTTGTCCTTTATCATGTCCATCTTTGCACAAAAGTTTCCTTTAATATCTCCAATTTTCTTGTACAGATTTTGGGTTTCCCCCTTTCTATTATTTTCCTCTATATCATTGCACTGTTCATTTAAGAAGGCCTTCTTCTCTCTCCTTGCTATTCTTTGGAAGTCTGCATTCAGTTTTCTGTAACTTTCTCTATCTCCCTTGAATTTTGTTTCCCTTCTCTTCTCTGCTATTTGTAAGGCCTCGTTGGACAGCCATTTTGCTTTCTTGCATTTCCTTTTCTTTGGGATGCTTTTTGTTGCTGCCTCCTGTACAGTGTTACGAGCCTCCATCTGTAGCTCTTCAGGCACCCTGTCCACCAAATCTAGTTCCTTAAATCTGTTCTTCACTTCCACTCTATATTCATAAGGGATTTGGTTTAGATTACACCTGACTAGCCCAGTGGTTTTTCCTACTTTCTTCAGTTTGAGCTTGAATTTTGCTATAAGAAACTGATGATCACAGCTACAGTCAGCTCCAGGTCTTGTTTTTGCAGAGTTTATAGAGCTTCTCCATCTTTGGCTGCAGAGAACATAATCAATCTGATTTCGATATTGCCCATCTGGTGATGTGGAACAAACCCTTTTGAACACACTGGGATTTGCCTCTGAGTGAACATGAACAAATCACTCATAACAGTTGTTTCAGGTTGCAGCATGCTGTGCTGAGAAGACAGGAGAAATCAAAGTGCTCAAAGGTTGTGAGGAGGGCACATCTGGTAGTGCCAGACATTTTCCCAGAGAAGCAAAGCACAATACATACTGCTACAAGAGAAGAAGAAAGTAATAGATGGAAAGAAGTAGATAAGCTTAATGTACAGCAAAATTTGAATACCTTTAGTGCTTTATTTACTTCTTTAATATCTTCCATCTTAAGCTTGGATCTAGAAAACAAAATGGCATCTATTTATGATGGAAACCTCAAATGTGTATTTTAATGCTTTAATGCTTAATCCATAATACAGATTTCAGAATTATTAGAACAGACTTACTGGCTAAGGTGAAGTCCCATTTCTTGAAGGGCCTGTTCCTGTTCTTCGCGCATCTTTTCTAACTGCTGCTTCTCTTCTTGCAGTTTTCGCAACTCCTATAAAACAAATGTATGTAATACTATATATTTTCATCAAGCATATCTCCTTTTGTTTCAAACTGGCTTTACAAAATGAAAACCTGTGGGTGCAGAGACTTGTGTTTGCAACGTTCGGTGCCTGGCGTGCCATTAAATCATGGGAGGTCATTCCAGAGAGTATGCATGATACAAATCCAGAGTAGTGGCTACTCTAGGAACAGCACTCTGTTACTCTGGGGAGCTTGTGTCTGGAATGGCTTCTTTAACCTTAACCCGTGGTGTTTCTGACAACCAATGGTGGGACCCAAACTCAGAAGAATATAGGAAACAAAACATTTTATAACATCAGAAATTATTATATTGACTCCAACTATTGGCCCAATGTTTCTGTATCATCTGTTTTATTTTGCAAGACCACAAGATAAGGTTTCACAGCTTTATCTAGATATATCAAGGCTTGAAACCTAGCCCTCTTGCATATGAACTAACTGTTGTTATTAACATTAATAACTATAAACATGCCCTATCATGTCATTTCTAACTTACTGTGACCATTTTCAAGGGTCTTCTAGGAAGAGAATGCTGAGAGGTAGTTTACTGAGCTGCACAGGCTGTCTTTTCAGCCTGCGGGGAATTCAACTCCCAACCTCTTGCTCTGCAGCCTGATACCTAAACCACCAAGCTATCCAGGCAGCTATCAATGGCCATTAGGTTTTCGAAAACCAGAAACTTGTTACAGCAATTTCTTTAGCCTTGGCTGAAAAGGCATCAAGTTTTGCCCACCTTTACTCTCTGGTTGGAAAGGAGGTTTCTGGATCACTTACTTTTTTCAGCCCTTCTACTTGTTGCAGTTCTGTTTTTAGCAAAGTTGTAGTATCCTTCTCTTGATGCAACTCTTGTTGCAATGTCTGTCTCTGTTCTTTTTCTGATTTTAATTCTCTCTCAAGTGTTTTGCTATTTAAAGGGGGTGGAAAAGAACAAAAAGCCTACATTAGGAAAAATTTATGTTTTCCAACAGTACTGACCTTGCTAGAAATTCTGGAATGAAAATTTAAAGCTCTCTCTAATATGCTCTTTCCCTCTGATCACCAAGGTAGGACATTTTTTTCTTGTGCAGCCAGTAACTGACATCTTCAGAGCTCCTTTAGGCATTCACAAACTCACCTACTATGGCTTTAAGGTATATTTTTCTTTGAACAACACCCCCACCTGCTTCACATGGCCCCCTTGTGTACGCAGAGAATCATCTGTCTGTTTTTTTCATCCTGGCTAATAGGATGGCACAGATTTAGCCAGCCCATATCTTAAACTATAAGGCACAATCTACTGAGACCCTTCTTAAGAAAGCTTTGTACCGGTGTCAGTAAACCTAACCTTTGTGTCTTTCCAGAAAACGTAACACACCCATCTGTGCACACATGGTAAACTGCAATAGTAAAATGAATCCACGTTTCTCTCTGATTGTCTACCATAATGCTTCATTATGGCACCATTCGCTAGTAGCCTACAGCCGCTAAGCTTTCTCTGTGTTCCCTCTAGCCTGGGAGTTAGGACTGCCTCCTTGGTGGCTACCTTGCGTGGAGTATACTACGACTTGTACAGCACATTGCAAACATCCTGCTAAACAGGCAAAACCTTTAAGAAAAAGCTGGATGAAGACACAAGAGCCTGCGTTAAAAGACAACACAAAGGTACCACTTATTGTCCAGCTGGAGTAGTTGTTGCTTCAGTGTCTCAATCTTACTTCCCAGTTCTTTTTTCAATTTGACAGTTTTCTCTTCAGCATCCTGCCTGGCTTTTTCTGCACGTTGCAGTCTAAAAACAGACATATGTAAATACACTTTGATCACTGTGTCAAAATACTGGTCATTTCTCATCTTTACAGAAATAACCTTTGAACAATCCTTAATGTATGCTCTAACATTTTCTACTATGCCACAGATCAGTGCAAGTGTAACCTTCTCAACACACTGACCCATCAATGCCTTGTGAATATTTTCCCAGTGAGATCTTACATTCATTCCATTTGTTCATTTTGGCTCCACTCCCAGAAGCTCAGGCTAAGGTGTTCGTGCCAGTAGCTTCGGAAAAGACCAGAGACAGCTTGAGGGCACTGCTGGAGCAGCCCTTCCCACACCTTTCTAGGATGGGGAAGAACCAAAACCAATTGTGAAAACCTTCCCCTCCCAAAAAAGCCCCTCTCCAGGCTGGAGAAATGGGTAATAAAATGGTAAAAGAAATTCAGCAGAAGCAAGCATAACATACACTGTAGCAAAAAATCCCAACTTTGCATAATACGTTGATGGCATTCGAGGTACTGAAAGAAGACAAATTCCATGTTAGGTATATAATATTGCCACTATCATACTGTCTTTATAAAAAATCCATTGTGTAACCACAATTCTAGTTGCCTGCACTTAAAAGAAGAATTCTGTAGAGCCAGAAAAAAGCACAGGAAGGGCAACCAAAATGATCAAAAGACTGGAATAATTCCTCTAGGAGGGAAAGTTATAACGCTTGGGTTTGTTAAGCTTAGAACAAATGAGATCTAGAAATGGGAGATCTAGAAATGTATAACATGATGGATGGTGTAGAGAAAGTAAAGATGCAGAAGATTTTCTTGCTTTCTCATAAGATACAAAAACCAACGATCTTCTATTGAAGATGTGTTTCACATTAAAAAGGAAACTTCATCATAGAGCACATAATTAAACACAGGATTCCCTTCCATAAGTTATGATGGTTGCCAACTTCGACAGCTTTAAAAGAGATCAGATAAATTCATGGAGGTTCTGGCCATGAATGGCTATTAGTCAGGATGGCTATGTGTCACCTCCGGTATCAAAGGTAGACTGCCTCTTTATGATTTTATCACAAAACTCAAAATCGAAAGGGCAGCTGCACTGATGTTTTGCTGGCCTCCATGGGTAACTGGTTGCCCACGGTGTGAGAAGAATGTAGGGGCTAGAAAGGTCTTTCCTCTGATTCAGGATGGCTCTTAAGGCCTAACTGCCGTGCAGGAAGGCAGAACAAAAGAAACCCAGGACAGGATCTCATGCCATCAGTTCCTAAATTAATATCTCAAGAGAATATTATTGTTCTGCATTCAAGTTCTGCATGTTCTGTTTTATGCCTTGACAAAAAGGGGGCATAAAAATGGATAACCCCCTCAACTCACACATACTACCTGTTCACACCTCTCCCTTCCCCCTCCCCCATCCAAATTCAGCTCCCCAGCCCCTAATAATTTTCTTTTCTGTCTTTTTGAGTTTCGACCTTTTCTTCTCACGGCTGCCTTCCCCACATCAGACTGATCCCTCTGCAGCATCTAAAACACCTTGCAGCATGTTCACACTAACAAAACACAGTAGACAGCATCTCAGTGTGTGGATCATAATCCTCCCCCAACGCATTTCCATCAGTCCATTTCACTGAGCTTGGCAAAAGCTGTGTGAAATGGGTCCAACGGCGCCTCCCCATGTGCACACCAGTTGCTCACCTTGGAGGCACTGTCTGACATTTGTTTTGTCTAAACGCATCTGCCCAGGTTTCAGAAGCTGAATGGGGATAGTTTAGTCTTTTCATTTGGGGTAGAAACACATGTGGAAAAGAATGGAACTGCTTTCATACAAATCACAGACAAAAGAAATGGGAGTAGGGAAACAAATCAGAGAAGCCTTAACTAAAAAGCGAAACAAAACTATTTGGTTTGGAAAGTGAAGCTTTACAGCAGCATTGGAGAACCAGGAAGGTCACAGCCAGTTACGCTAGGTCTGTGCTTAAAATTACCTCTCTTCCATTTGCTTCACAGAAGACATCATCTGATCTGTCTTGCCTTCAAAGGATGATATTGCTTCTTTTTTCTGTTGCAATGAGCTTTCTGCATTCTGGAGGGTCAACATTTTATTAGAATCAGAATTTATTAGAAACTATTAGAAAGCAATCAAGAGAAATATTTGTCTCACAACACTTCTCCCCTCCCAAGGCCAAGTATAACATTCCCTTGCTTCTGAAATATTGCAGCAGGTAATCTGGGATGGCAAGAATCAAGGCAGATGGTCTACCACTAGAGATAAATGGGGGATTTGGAAACAATCAGGTACAGTCAATATCTCTGTGAAGATTCTCAGTCATCCAGGTGTGGCTATTTGGAACTTGAGTCTTGGCAAGTGGACTTCCTCCTTACCAGATTGAAATGTTTTGCCACTCATCCAAGTAGAAGCTGAAGAAGTTACCTGGATGAGTAGCAAAATGTTTCAACCTAACAAAAAAGAAGGCCAGTTGCCATGATTCAACTTTCAGAGGTAGTGTCAATGTCAATACTTCTTAGTAGAGATGGGGGCTGGACCAATTGCTTCCTTCCAATTGCTCCACAGCGCCCGGTAGGCTAGCCACTCCTGGCAGAAGGAGGGGAGATGAGTGTCCCTGCAAGGCTGACAAGTGGCTAGCCAACTGGGCACTCCAGAGTGATTGGAAGGAAGAGCGGGGCCAGCGGTGGACACACGAGTGGATGGTCTGGACCCCGGGGATCCTGGAAAGAGAACAAACTCCAAGGTATTTCAAAGAGGGAAGCAAACAGGATTCTTTCAGTAATTCTCAGTACTATCCACTATTTAACCAATAAATGGAAAAGTATACAGACTATCACCACCTCTTTGCCATAGTTAAAACTTAGATTAGTCCAATAGACCAGTCACTCTCAATGGAGGCCATATGGCTTCCTGGAGAGCCTTGGCACACTTGAAGGGCACACAGAGTGGAACCAAATCTTTACACACTACATTAAAAGGTTAATTATGTGACTTATACAATCTTGATTCATCCTATATTTCTTTCATATTGTGTTTATGGTCATGGCCAAAAAAAGGCTGAGAATGGCTGCAACAGACACCTATACTTTCCCTAGAAATCACTTCTATGTTTATGAAAAGGCTGCTGCAACGAAATAACATACTGAACAGATTATACATCTGCAGAACATTAACGTTAATAGAGGAGAAACTCCCTTGAAAACATTAGGCAGTAGAGACAGCGAACAGGCTTGGCTATGGCACTCGTGCCTCCACAGCCATCACCTTTGGAGTCAGGAAGGTGTCCTGCAATCCCTCTTCATGCTACTTCTCCACTGTCCACACACCACCTTCAAGGGAGTCCTGGATTGTTCAAACCAGAGTTCTCACTCTGTCACAAACAGAAAACTCCGGTTACAGTTGTGATCCCGACTCCCAAGACAATGTTAAACCAGAACTGCCTGCTTTGAATGTAGTGGGAACTTTGGTCTAAACAGATCAGGACAATAAATCTGAAACTGGTGTGTGGGGAGAGAGGAATAGACAGGTCACTTCCAAAATTTAAGAATAGTGGCTTATGAACCTTGAAACGTGGCTTCTAAATTAGCCCACGATTTTAGAATTGAACTGGATATATACCTCGATTCAAACTTTGATTCAGTGAGTGGTCTTGGGTAGGTCACAAATTTGCACAAGACTTACCTATATATTACTTCCATTTCTATTCCTCCTTTCCCTCAGTGAGCTTAAGGCAGTTTACATGACTCTCACCCCCACTTTAGGCTCATAACAACTTTGTGAAATAGATCAAGTAGGAAGAAAGTAATTTCATAAGGTCTCTCTTTGAGATTCACAGCCAAGTGGAGACCTGAATCTGGATCTCCCAAATCCTAGTCCAATTATCAGAGTAGTACACCATATACTGGCTCTCCAACATATATTAAGTGAATGATTACAATGCACTGTACATGCTTGAACTGCTACTGTACAGAGTCCTTCCTTCAAGGCATGTGTTGTTGTTACATGCTGTCAAGTTGGACAGCAACATTAACAGGGTTTTCAAAGTGTGATATTTAAGGAGTGGTTTTACCAGTTTGACTCGCCCAGTCAGTTTCCATGGCTGAGTGGGAATGCAAACCTTGTTCTCCAGAGTCCCAGTCCATCACTCTGCCTACTTCTCCACACTGAGAACCAGGCACATACCTGAGACTTATTAAACATCTGCAAATTGATGGCTTTAACTTCCTCCAGCTGTTGGCGAAGAGCAACCAAAGTGTCTTGTTTTTCATGAGTATCTTTCTCCAAGAGTTTCATGGCAATTTCCATTTCTGTTTTCAATCCAATCTGCAGCTCCAGCATTTTTTCAAGCTCCTTAAAAATTATAATAAAAAAATGGTGTGAAAAGAAAAACATTTCTGCTATGCAAAACACAAGCCATGCTCTAAGGGAAAGAAATGACAGAAAACAATGTTTATTATTATAGATGATGTGATACATTTTCCACTCCAAGTACAATGGCCTGGATCCAGAGAAGGCTGCTTCTATATGCCTGCTGTGATTTTCCAGGCCCCCTTTTCCACAACAGCACCCCAAAAACTAAAACACAAGGATCAGGGGACCACCTGCTGCAACATCCAAACAGCCAAAGGAACTGCATCGTGTGTAAAAATGGAAGTGCTTCATTCACTTGAAAAGGGTTGGGGGGGCAGGGATTGAACAGTATGCACAAGCTTGGAATAAGTCTTCCTCCATCACATTGGGACAGCTAGTCTCTATTATATTTATAGTCTTTTTTTTCTATATAAAAATCCACGCATAACAGTTCTCTACTTCTTGGCATTAATCCATCTTTTTTCAAATTCAGAAATATTTTATAAACGTTTAAGAGAGACGCTTAATAACAATTCCCTGTATATCTGTACCTAGTATTTCCAGCTCCACGTGCTGCAGCATGATAACATAAAAAGATGTAGGGCCATGTGTGTGCATAAAATGCACCACTATGTGCTGTGTCCCCCGTTTCCCACTATTCTGCCCATCAACCATGAGACCTTTCCCCCCAGCCAAGGACTTGCTTACCTTGAGCTGGGCAAAAACTAAGCATTTTCTTGGTGGCCTTGTCTGGGCTAAGATCAGAGCTCTCTACCCAGAGTCTGATGCACCTGACGTAGGATTGGTGAGGAACAGATGGCCAAGACTAATTTTCAAAAGAGCCCTACTTTGTGTTCATGCTGCAGGTGGAAGTCTAAGGTGTAGAGCCTCCAGCTACCTGTAAAGATTTCAATATGTGCATGTACTGCACCCACCTCCTATTAAATGTCCTTGACATCTGTATGGGCAGGCTGGGGTTACACTTGTGGTAAAGCAGGCTGTTTGCTTATTACTACTGGACACTTGTCAGATGAGTGTCCAATTGTAATAAGGCTTTCAATCTGACACAGGTTTTATTTGGATTCCATTTTAAAACGATGACCAGCCAGAGGCCACCCACGAAGCCCAACAGCGCCTGCCCGTGTGTGACACTGTGTAGCTATATCCCAGTGGCTTCCACTAATGTCTAAATCTATGAGGAAATTTTTCCTTCAACTTTCACTGAGGAAAACCAATGACCACCCAGTTCCTCTCTTCCCTGAACCCTGAGTTCAGCTGCTCATAGCTCTTATCACTTTACACGCTTGAAATTCTATAGGCTGAGTTTGAATGTGAAGATATGTGTTCAATTCTTACCGTTCGGATTCTTTTTTCCTCTTTCAACTGCCTCCAGACATCACTGTACATCTCATCTAGGCCTTGCCGTGACTGCTTATATGTTTCTAATTCAACTTTAGTGTCCTCTTTGGTTACCTAGAAGAGAAAGTGGCTTGAGATATCTGGCTGCTCGGAGGCCAAAAGAGAGAAGTTCCTTCGAGTTATTTTATTTATTTATTTATTTATTTATTGCATTTATATGCCGCCCGTCTAGACATAATCTACTCTGGGCGGCTCACAACATACAAGATAAAAACAATTTAAAATATACACAGTTTTACATTTAAAAAAAACAAAACGATATAAAAATAATATCGTAAATTAGTAAATTAGTTATGACTAATTAAAAGTAGTTTCAGATCTGCAGACCACACTCACAATAAAGATTGACCTCTAAAATATACAAGAGAACTGGCTTTAATTTCGAAAATAGATGTGATTAGTTTAGAACAGAATATTTGTACTTTGATTCACTGCTGAAAGAGCACAGGGAATTGCTCTTCCCACAGAAAGGAACAGGAAAGCCCTGCCTGCAACATCTCTCGACATGCATCCTGGCCAAAACATTGTAAAATTACTTTTTTGGACTCTCTGAATCCAATGGTCAGCATGGCATTAGTACCTGGGGGATTCTGACAGCCACTGTCTGTAAAAGCAATCTTTCCAAATTCTGGTTCTTGCACATAGAACTCAGGAATTCTGGACTGAGGACAATATTAGCAGATGGAAAGGTGAGCTGGGTAAGAAGACAGATGCCATTTCCTGCTTCACCTCAGATAGCAAAATCTTAGGAGGCATCAGCCAAGGGAAGGGGGAAAGGAGTGAAGATGGCCACCCTACCCCTCCTCCCCCATGGCCAGCTCCTAAGGATTCACGCTCTCTCCTTATTAGCACAATTCATCATATTCTTGTTGTTTCATTTCTTCCCCCCCGTCATCAATTTTATATATAATTTCTATACATTGTAATGCAAGATATGTAGTGGATTGCTTAGCTTTTGAAGGAAAAAGCAGTGAGAAAAACCAAATTGAAGCTTCTGAGCCAAGCCCCGTGTGCATCAGACCTGTGGTATATCTGACCTCAACATGCTTTTCGCTTCGTTCACGGATTAGTTCATTTTCCTTCTTCAGCTCCTTCTGTTCCTCCTGAAGGGCCTCAATTCGATCTGTGGCTGCTGCCAACTGGCAAATGAAAAGTACAGAAAAAGACGAGAGAAAACGACCCTACATTATCTGGATTAATATTAAAATGTCTCATTCAACCATAGCATAAAATTAGGACTTCATAATTCAGCTCCATAACAGAGTCATTTTATTATTCTGACACAGATATTAGTTGTGATGATGGCTTCCAGATGAGAGGCAGTAGATACTACCAGTTCAGAGTCTCTGTACAGTTATTCCCTCTCTCCCTAAAAGGTTGGTTTTGTTGTTGTTTTTGGTAAGAAGGAAAACAAAATAACAAAAAGCAACTCTGGGAAGTTTACAAGCCAAAGATGACATCTGGATCCCTGTAAAATTCTGGGAAAAGCCAGGGCATTTGTAAAATCCTTGCCTGAAGGCAACTATGCTGTTTTTAAATAGAAGTACAATTTCCTCCCTAGAAAGATAATATGACTGGTAGAACTTCTCACAGTCTTCAAATAATTATATCCTCTTCAATCCACTTGTCACATAGGGGGGCCTAGTTCAGTGACAGAGCACATACTCTGCATGCAAAGTCCAATGCCTGCTACCTTCAGCTAGTGACACAAAAAAGATTGTCTGAAACCAGAGCCTATTTTTAGATTACAACTCCCAGATGCCCTCAGCAAGGGATGGCCAAGTGGCCACACTGGCTGTAAGATTCTGAAGTCCAAAAAGCCAGACCATATTTCCAATATGTTTGAAATCTTAGGACACTGGCTGCTAGTCAGTACAGACAAGACAGAGCTAGATGGACCAATAGGGTGATCCTGTTATAAGTACAAATTATACAAATTCCATGGCTGTTCAAGTGGAAATCTAATCTACCACCAGTGAATTGTATGCCTTTTCTTACCACGGTTTTTCTACCTGGCCAATTCTGTATCAGTTTTTACTGTTTAGAGCCCCAAAGAACCACTTGATGAGATCCTAAATTTCAACATGAAGACAGATTTATAAAAGGAGGAAGCACAGAATAGAAACCAGAAATAAATGTCAGCCCCACAAACCTCTTCCTGAAGTTTTGAATTTGTTTTCTCTAAGCACTCTATCTTGGTCTGAAGATCTCCAACAGTGCAGCTGTGGCAAAAGATCACCAATATCTCATTAACAGTAACCACTGTGAGCCCAAACAAGAAATCTATTATTTATTTAAAATACTCCTCCTTAAAAAGGATCCAAGGTGGCTTACATCATTAAAAGACAATAAATACTTGGTTTCTGGGAGTTGCAGTTCAAAAGCATCCGAGTAACAAAGGTTAAGAACCACTGGCTTACATCATTAAAAAACAATACTTAAATCTAAAAACAGTGAGTATACAATCGAACAAATACACTAAAATGGTACGCAAAAAGCATGTTCATAACAGTAAGGCACAGCAACTCTTTTAAGAAGCCCATTGAGGCAGCAGATCACTCAGGGAAAGCTTGCCTGAAGAAAAAGGTCTTTCCCTGCTTACAAAAGGACAGCAAAGATGGGGCCAGCCTGTCCTCCTGTGGGAAGGAGTTCCAAAGTCCGGGAACAGCAACAGAGAAGGCCCTCTTCCTGTGTACCCACCAAAAACTCCTGTGGAGACGGTTGGACCAAAAGGAAGGCCTCTCCTGATTTTCTTAATCACTCAAGCAGACTCAAAGCGAGACATGGTCCTTGACATAGCTTGGGCCCAAGCCACTTAAAGCTTTATAGGTTAGAAACATTTTGAATTGGGCTTGAAAACAGATTGGCAGCCAATGGAGCTGCTGTAACAGGAGGTTGATGTGGTCTCACTTAGCAACCTGGCTGCTGAAATTTGGAGCTTCCTGTGTACCCACCAAAAACTCCTGTGGAGACGGTTGGACCAAAAGGAAGGCCTCTCCTGATTATCTTAATCACTCAAGCAGACTCAAAGCGAGACATGGTCCTTGACATAGCTTGGGCCCAAGCCACTTAAAGCTTTATAGGTTAGAAACATTTTGAATTGGGCTTGAAAACAGATTGGCAGCCAATGGAGCTGCTGTAACAGGAGGTTGATGTGGTTCTTGTAACCAGTCTCACTTAGCAACCTGGCTGCTGCAATTTGGACCTGCTGAAATTTCCAGACACTTCCCACGTACAGCATGTAATCCAGCTGGGATGTAACTAAGACATGTGTTGCTGTGGCCACATCAGACCTCTCCAGGAACATGTGCAGCTGGTGCATTGGTTTTAATTGTGCAAACGTAGTCCTGGCCACTGCCAAAACCTGGGCATCTATTCTCAGAGATGAATCCAGAAGCACCCCAAGCTGCACACCTATGTTTTCAGAGGGAGCTGGTAACACATGTTAACTGTTAAGCAATTAACATTTGTTACACTGTTTTTAAAATAATGGGTGGTATATATGGATACATGTATGTACTGATTGAATCAAACATGTTTTTCAGTCTACCCAGCTTAATGAAATCGATAAAAAATGTGGTAAACTGCAGTGGTGTGGGAAGGATAGGCAGCTAGAGGGCCTGAAAAAGGTGGTAGGAGACAAAGATGGCGGTCCCTCTGAAGGTACAGCATTCTTCATGTTAAAACTTCTCACACACTAGGAATAGTTTTAGAACAAGTAGCCGTGTTAGTCTGTGCTATCAAGTCAGGCAAAAACAAACAAACAAGACATGTTCACTTCTTCAGAAGAAATTTGAACAAGAGGACTTGTCCATGAAAGCTCATATTAAAATACAGCAGTCAGTCTTTAAAGTGCTACAATGTTTTTGTCTTGTTTTTTCTTTAAAGTGCTACAATGTTTTTGTCTTATTTTTTGTTTTGTTTTTGCCCGACACACACCAAGAATAAAAACTGATGTATGAAGAACTGCTGGACAACTCAGTGATTTAGGTCTCTGGCTGCAGAACCAGAGGTTAGGAGTTCAATTCCCCACTGGTGCTTCCTTGAGAGGGGCTGGACTTAATGATCCATAGGATCCCTTTCCACTTCTGCAGTTGAAAGGTTATTATTATAAGCAACAAATCTTACCTTAGATGCCGGTTAAGTTCTTCCACATAATGTTTCTGATCAAGCACAGCAGTTATTCCTCCATCTCTGGATTTAAAACAAAGATTTTCCCCCAGAATGATCAGTTCTTTTAAGGGCCACATTTTTAGAAGATGCAGTTGCTGCACAAAAAGCTCATTAAAAAGTTGTAAGTGCTCTTCCTTTATTCGAGATCAGTGTAGTCTCAACAAGATCTGATCCAGATGAAAATAAGGAGATGATTCAATCCAAGAAATCCCAATCAATCTAATGGAACTTTCTGACTAACCTTAAGTATGACTGCCACTTTGAAAGAATAACTGTTCCGTTACTGATACAAAAAGGCACATGACCCACTACTAAGGCAAGATATAAAGAACCTGATTTTTAAAAAAAAGCAATTCTGGCTTTTGGGAGAGAATACAATTTTATTTATTATTTTCTCCTATTCATTTGCAGATTTGGGTTCAGATTCCATCTCACTTTCTGAAGGAGCTATGAAAGGCTATTTTCTGTTTTTATGAGTTATTAAATCAACCATACGTACTCTTTGCCATTGTCACTGTTTTGTGTATCCTTAAGGTACAAGGAGAAATCAATCACAGCAACCTGAAAAGGAAAAAAATATAGATTTACTGTATAAACTAATAACACGATGCTAAGTGTCTCAAAGCTATCCTTTATTTATTTTCATTCCCCTCTTTCAGGCTGAAATAAATGCAGTTTAAGTGAGGAGAAAACAATTCATGCAACGGTGTGCTTGTCTTCTTGAATGGATACTATTGTTCTAGTCTCTCTCTTTTGCATCTTCCAGTTGACCTGAAACCCTGGGTCTCCTGCTCTCCCCAATAAAACCAGCACTGAATGTTTAGCAAGCTGTGCTTTCCTTCCTCCTCCCTCCCCTCCTCAAGAGTTTCCCAGATAACACAACACTGTCTAGGTCACTCACTGAATGGCTCTAAGGGTATCACCAGCCCAGGTTACAGCAAAACCTCTTAGCAAAGTAATGTTCTACACCTAGCTATTCTGTACCCTAGATCTTATGCATTAATAGTATTCTGTATCCTTTTTACCATGTTAACCCAGAGAAACAAGAAAAATAAATAATATAAATAAAAAAACCAAATATAAACTAAATTTTTAGTTGCAGGTATAGTTGGTTGTTGTTTAGTCGTTAAGTTGTCTCTGACTCTTCCTGACCCCATGGACCAGAGCACGCCCGGCCCTCCTGTCTTCCACTGCCTCCCGGTTTTTATCACAGCGACACACCCATCTTTTGACTATTCACCAGTTGCACCTTTTCCCACTGTAGTTCTGCAAGAAAAGGAGATGCTGTTTTCTAAATCCCTCTGAGCCATAAATATACTTCAGGTCTACAGTATAGTGACTCTATCAATACCCAGTTTAAGTTAGGAAGAAGTTTCACCTGGGAATCCAAATCTTCTCCTTTTAAGCAGAGATTTGCATCGATAACATTCAGCCCTACTAACAGACCAACCATCACAGCTCCTTCCTCTTCCACCATCAAGGCACCAGGCTCATAAAACTCACTAAGAAAAACACACAAATTATTTAGGTTTTTTTAAAAAATTATCGATCACAGTGGGAAACTTAAGGCTAATTCAGTAAGGATTATATATGTACTTCTTCTACGCTCTATAGTATAAATACAAAAGCTAGCTAGGGGCCAGCATAGGCCTCCTCCAAACCCAAAGGTTTCTTCCCCCAGCCTTTGCTCCAGGAAAAAGGAGAAAAATTATCCTTGCTCCACCAGCAGCTGTGTTCTGAGCAGACCTCCACTTCAGGAAGCTCACACGGGCAGAGTAAAATGCTGGATCCAAGCTGTCTGTTTTATAGGCTTCCCTTCATTTCCAAGAAGAGCATCAGAATTAAAATGACGACAATACCTCAACAAATGTTTGTGGTCCAAGAGAACTTTCAGGTAATCTGCCAGCTTCTTTTGCATCACAGCAAGATAAAGCCACGCTCTGCCTCTTCCAACTGGTGTCCTACAATTTCACAAGACACTAGTTGTTAAGTAGGTCAAATCATATCAGCTCACTTAAGATATAGAAGGATGAAGAAATATGTTTCTGAAATCTTAGCATGAGCCCATTTGCTAGAACAGCAAGAGATAACTGCTTATTAGAAGAGCTGGTGGGGGGTAATGACAGTTAAAATATTCAGACTGTCTTCTTTTATTTAAAGCTGTATTTCCTTTATTGGATGGTTGACTAAAGCAGTTAGTACATATCTTATTATAGGTCATTTCAAAAGAATATTAATAGGGTATATGGACTGACAGTTTATTGTGAGGAAAATCATGGAAGCAGGATGGCTATTTCAGGCACATTTATTCAGAGACAGATCTAATGGGCCGGGATCCTGTTAAGCAGCTATGCCTGCTCAACAGGAGTGATGTCACTGGCAGATTTCTGATTAAAGAATTCTCTTTTTTTATTTTGAGGTGTGTCTGACTTGGTATAATTCAATTTGAGTTGCATGCACTCACAAACTAAAAAAAACACAACCCTCTTTGTTGCAAATTAATCTGCTGCTGCCAGTGACATCTTCCCCTTGCACAGGTGCACCTATGCATCAGGATAATGGCCAATAGCTCAATGTAACTTTCTGTATAGCAGGTGCTTCAAAACTTCTCAATGACAGTTGGCTGTCTCAGCAGCTACTTCAGAAACACAGTGAATCTTTTTCCTGAGGTACAAGATCCATGAAGGTACAATACTACTGATAAATATATCATATGCTTATGTTGTCATTGAATATTGCACATTAAACATTAACTTCAGCAAAAAATCCAAACACATTAACTTGAGATTAGTTAATCATTAGTTAAAAAACAAATCAGCCCACAAAATATTATGATGCCATGTAATGACTGTAAAGTATTGTAGTCTCATTTCTTTCAGTCATATGTGCCCTCCATAATTCCAGCATGAATTTGCTTCAACTTACTTTAATTCTGGCAGATTTCTGACACTTGTTGCTAAATCTGATGCTTCAGGACAAAGTTTTTCCACCAGTTCTAAAGGTCCAAAGAATGATTTCTGCTGCCCAATAAAACTCTTCTTAGCTAGACAATAGGAGAGCAATAGGCAATAAATATTTCTTTAACTCCATTCACATACAAAGCACATGTCTAGAAACTGAAGAAGGAAAATTAAGACTGCAATGTTTGAAGAGAAAGTGAAAGGGCAAGTCAGTAAAAACAAAACATTACCAAGAAAGGATCTGTCATCTCAAAGTACCTGTGTTTATTAACAGCCTGCCCAATGCATGGAGTGGGGAGAGGGACGAATCCTTCATGGTCCAAACTGAATAAAGGATATGCTTAATCTTGGACATTTAATGAACTCTGAGATTACAGATAGCCTGCTGGCATTATTTTGTAATTCTACAAGCATTTACAAGGAAATGAATCTCAATGAATATAATAAAAGACACTTCTATGTAGACACATATTTGGCTCCAATGTCATGTTATTTCACACTTCATAGTCAGGCTCCAGTCCTAAGCACACATATCTCTGACCTGGCCTTACCAGTGGAAAATACTTCCAGGTAAACATATGTAAGATATAAAAATGATACTGCAAATTTACGGGGCAATAAGAAACATTCAATTTTGGGAGGATTGTCCCAGCATTAAAATTAGACACATATTTGGCTCCAATGTCATGTTATTTCACACTTCATAGTCAGGCTCCAGTCCTAAGCACACATATCTCTGACCTGGCCTTACCAGTGGAAAATACTTCCAGGTAAACATATGTAAGATATAAAAATGATACTGCAAATTTACGGGGCAATAAGAAACATTCAATTTTGGGAGGATTGTCCCAGCATTAAAATTATGCTCACAGATACTGCAAATTTACGGGGCAATAAGAAACATTCAATTTTGGGAGGATTGTCGCAGCATTAAAATTATGCTCACATATTTATTTATTTATTTATTTATTTATTTATTTATTTATATCACCCTATCTGGTCTTGCGACCACTCATATGCATATTAAAGAGAGAGAGAGAGAGATCAAAAGCATATCCCATGTAATAAGCCTTTTACACTACTAAATTGCTGCATTTTGACCATGCAGTGTTAAGGAACAATATCCACTACAGTAGTTGCCCCAGTGGACTGGTTATAAATTTCCTTTAATGACACTTCTGTTCTATAGTGAAGTATGAGAAACCAGTCAAACTATTTTAAAGATATAGTTCCCTAGTTTTAAATATGTATCTTCTCTACTCTTAATCTCTTACTGCAGCTAAAAATTTTCTTACGAAGCAGTCACAAAAGTGAGCTATGAGTTCTGAATAAAGTATTTGGTGGTTTTGTATAACACAAATACAAAAAAGAAAGAAAGAAAGAAAAAGCTAAAGCACAGTTAAATAATCTTAACCTACCGAAGGCATATTCACAAATAGATGGGAACAATAAAAGCCACGCATAAAACCAGTGCTCAAAGTAAGCTCACCTTTCAGTCCATGCTTGAGACAGTGCTCCATGACTACAAAGAACTGTTGCAGGGGAGGGAAGTCAGAATCCAGAGTCCGACCCAAACTCAGCGCTGACTGAATTAAGACTTTAATGCTCAGCTTCATCATGTTCATAAGATTTGAACGTTCTTCCATGGTTTGGTATTTAGCTGCTGAAGACAGACAGATGGACATTCATATATGTATACATGTGTGTGTGTCTAT